TAATATTACTCCGCAATACATATGTAATTACTGTGAAAAAAAATTCCGTGACGGATTAATACCTGCGTATTGCGTTTTAAATGATCGTATTGTACATGATCCACCTGAAGTAATATCATGTCTTAACCAGTTTGAAAAAATTCTCATACAAAGAGCTAAAGCTTTTCAAACTGTCGTTACAATGAAACCTGTTAGTAACAAGAAATTGCCTCACAAACAGATGGTACAAAAAGTAAAAGGTAGAACGTTTTATTTACCGTTACCGTTACAAGAAACATTGAACAAAATATGTCCTGATACTGATCCGATTAATATCAATCACGAACTGTACTTTGTACGTGTTAGAGGTATTCCGACAAAATCAAAAATGATTTGGGAAGATATGGTAGACGTTAACAAGGTTTTTGACGCCTTAGTGTGGTTAAAAGAACACAATCCTTTATATTCTCATATTGTATTGCCAAATACTTGTAAGGAGTTTTCTTTACAAACGTCATTATTAATCGATCCAGATTTTGAAGCACAGGAGACAGAAAATGCTACTGAATCTAATTTGGATGACGAACGCGAATCGAGCCCAAAAAGTCCAACGCAAGAAAACAACGTAGACGCTACTTTAAATAATGAGCGTAAGGCAATGTTAACTCAGGTTCTTGACGAAAGTAATGACTATTACGATTACGAGCAATATACTATATGAAAAAAAATTATGTAAAACTGATACCGCCTTATATCAAATGTTAAAAATAGCCGATTTACCGTTGGACAATCGTGAGAGATCTTTAGATCTATTGTGTTTTCCAGATTTATTTCCTTTTGGTATTGATGGACGACACCAAGCTAGACGGGTTAAACTTCACGACCATGAATTTGATAAATGTTGTTTGATGTCCAAACATCCACAATTCAGATTAAATATACAATTCGTATTTTTTCTGTATAATCTGTACACTTTTCGTCAAATAAATCGTGGTATTTATAGCAAACTATGTACAACTAAGCGTTATACGGCTTCAGAATATTTAGAAGCACTACAGACAGATGTATTAGAATCTGACTTGAGTACAATATTCGCCACTATAAGAAATACGGAACAATACTGGCGTATACCGAGGAGTAATTTAAGATGTATGACGCAAGAATACGGACCTGCGACATGGTTCGTAACATGGAGTCCTGCTGAATGGCTGATGCCTGACTTAGCTGCATATCTTCGTGAAGTAAATGGATGGCCTGACGATTCGACGCCCATTAGTGTACTCGTTGCTAAGGATCTCGTGTCAACGTCAAGGTTTCTTGATAACAAATTCAAAGCGTTCCTTGATTTTATTTGTTCCAAAGATAATCCGATCGGAAAAGTGGCGCATTATTTCTGGCGACGAGAATACCAAGGTAGAGGTATACAACATTTCCATTTATTAATTTGGATTGAAGGTGCGCCAATTATCGGGAAATCTTCTGTTGAAGAAGTTTCTCAATTTATTTTGCAACACATAACTTGTGAAATGCCAGATCCAAATATTTCACCATTGTTATACAGGCGAGTCAATACGCATCAACGACACAAACATAACGATTATTGTTTTCGTTCTAAAAAAGTAGGACGCAAAACGATTCGTGTGTGTCGTTTCGGGTTTCCTCGTCCTGTCACGGAAACGTTGATTTTGAAAGATGTCATAAGTTCGATAGCAGGTAGGAAACGATTGAAACATAGAAGTAGGCTTTATCATGTTCCTCGAAAACATGATGAGATCAATATAAATGATTATCATTCTGTTCTTCTTACGGTATTAGAAGGAAATGTCGATATACAATACGTAAGTGAAACATCCACGTTGCTTACTTGGTATATTACTAAGTACGTAAATAAACCAGGAAAATGTGAAATATCTGATGCTGTCCTTGATAGTAAAAATAAGACAAAGAAATCATTGCGTCAAGAACTTTGGAATTTTACTTTGCAAGCCACGAGTAATAGGGAATGTGGATCTCTTGAAGCCTGTGATGGAATGTGTGGTATTCCTTTATGGGGGACTGATTCAAAAACGACTATAAAATGGTTAGATGTTAATCAGATACGACGTAGAAAAGTTAAAACTTATAAGGAAATTGAAGCTCTTGACGGAGATTCTACAAATATATTTTGTCCATCTATAATAGATGAACATTATCCACGGAGACCAAAAGAATTGGAATCTATGTTTTTATATGAGTTTGTACAGTAGTATGATATTTTGAAAAATAAACCACGAGGTAAAAATATTGAATACTACACGATGGAGAATGGTTATTATCTAAAACGGCGACAGCGTGGATGTCTTATTAATCACTATAAATATAATGTCAATACGCAGCCGGAAAATTATTTCTTTTCATTACTGCTCATGTTTAAACCGTGGCGGAAAATAGAAGATCTTAAAGACGGATGTGATACATATACAGAAGCATTTCACAAGGAAAAGTTATATCTTACGGAAGCATTGCAATATCATGAAAAATTAGAGGAAGTGCAAAAAGCATTTGAAACTGCGAAGCAATTAGTTGAACAATATTTAGATGATTTGGAAAAACAGCATGAGTCTTAAGATGATCCCGATAATCCAATAAGTGTTCAAAATATTGAGGCTGGTGAAGCGATGCAAGATTTTAAGGATCTTGGTGACAAATTAAATCAGGAAATCAATGTATCTGAAATGATTTCAAATCTGAACGCAGATTAAAGAAGAATATTTGACAGAGTCATCAACGCCGTAAAGATATCGCCGGATGACGAACAATTTAAACAATTACTATTATACGTTAGCGGAGAAGGAGGTACTGGTAAAAGTTTCTTAATTAAAACAATTAAATGCTGGATAAAACAAAATCTCCACAAAGATACTGCTGTAACAGCACCTACTGGTATAGCGGCGTTTAATATCGATGCTTTAACAAATCACAGGCAATGGCAGTTACCTGTTAAACATGGTGATCAGTCTCCTAAGTATACACTATTATCTGATCACGTTTTGAAAGTTTTACGAGCAGATCTTAAAGATGTTAGTCTTATTATAATTGATGAAGTATCAATGATATCTAATTTAACTTTCATGTATATACATTTACGACTATGTCAAATATTTGATACCATGGATGACGATTTCTTTGGTGGAAAGCATGTTCTTTTATTTGGAGATCTGCTTCAATTACCTCCTGTACGTGAAAATTTTATCTTTGTTCCACTATCAAAAGCAGAATTTAATAAATATATTGGCAGTGTGGGGACTACTCCTGAGGAATGGTTGTGGCAAAAATTTCAATATGATGAATTGACGATCAATATGCGTCAGCAAGGAGATACAGCTTATCGTGAATTACTCTCGAGAGTTTGTATTGGTTTATTGACAACTTCTGATTCTGAGATTCTCGAGAAAAGAAGAATATCATTGAAAGGTCAGTCTTTCGATGAAAGATTATACGAATTGTGTAATTATCTTGATAATTTGCCACCTAACACTGTTTGTTTACTGCCTACTCGTTATTTGTGCGATGTTCTTAACACTGCAATGCTAAGTCGTATTGCTTCGAAAGAAATATTATTAATTGCTCAAGATACGCTTGACTGTGATAATTATATTAAACGAAAGGTACAAAAGCGATTGACGGATAATGAAGACGATGATACCAATACAGCTGGGCTTTTGAAACAAATTACAATTATAATTGGAGCGAAAGTTATGATAAGACGCAATATTGATGTCACTTTGAGCCTGGTAAATGGTACAATTGCTACAGTTATTTCTGTTGTGCGGGATATATCTACCGATTGTGTAGAAAAGATTAAACTTCTTTTACTGTCTGGTTTGGAGTATTGTATTGAAAGAGTAAGTGTCAAGTTTAAAGTAATGGAGAAAGCATATGTTATCAGAAAACAATTTCCCATAACTCTCAGTTATGGCATAACCATTCATAAAAGTCAAGGATTAACCTTGCAAAATGCTGTTATGGATATAGGTAATTCTATATTTAGTTGTGCTCAGTCATATGTTGCGTTATCCCGACTACCGTCTTTGGATGGATTGCATTTAATTAACTTTGATCCTTCAGCTGTAAAAGTAAGTGAAAGAGCTATTAGCGAATATAATCGACTAATACGAACATTTCTACCGCAAGCACAAACGATTCCTATTTCGAAAAAACGTTTTCGAAAAGTAAAAGATGTTCCGTGGACATTGTCGAAAATAATCAATGCCGGTCAAGAGTCAGATCAACAAGTTGGAAAAAGTACTGTTGAGCCGATACCTGTTTTGCAAAATGAAGATGGAGTTTCATGCTACGCAAATTCAGTAATACAATGTTTCTTGCAGTCAAGTATTATTAGGAAAGTGTTGCTTAAAGTTGATAAAGATGATTTAAGTATATTAGCGCATAAATATGACAAACGATTACCTAATTTGAATGCTGATGCGATACGGACAGATTTAGGAGAGCGCTTTACGAGTCGTGGTGATGAAAAACCAGCAAAACGAGACGCTCTTGAATTTCTTATTGCCATTTGCACAAAATATAATTACATAAGAAATTTGGTCGGGCATCAAGTTACTCGTACTACTAAGTGCATTAGCAACTCATGTGGTTATACGACAAAAGATAATATTACTGATAACATAGTTGTTCCAATTTCTATTAATAATTTGAAGAAGAAAAGTTATAATCTTAATAATTTATTGAAGGATACATTTTTAAATTGGGGTCCGTTATATGGAAAAACATGCCAATTTTGTGCATGAAATCTAGTATTTAGAAATGAATTAACATTGACGAAAAAAATAGTTATCATTCATTTAATTTTGTTCTCGTCACAGGATAATAAATTAGTGAAAATACCACAGACATTTAATTTAACTGGCATATCAACAACTAAGATATCGATAGCTAAACAGCAGTATAAAATAATGAATACTATATTTCATCAGGGTACATCTATTGAAGATGGTCATTATACAAGTATGTGTAGAGAAAGGACATTTTGGATTGAATTTGATGATGGAAAAATTATAGAAAATAAACGATGGCCTACAGGTGCTAAAGGTCTTTATATATTATTTTTGGAAAAAGTTGGTAAGAAATAATTTATACAAGCAACGTAATATACATGCATATTTTACATAAAAGCAATGTCCGGCAATGTGTATATATATATATATATACAACTTTAGACACATTTCTTTATAAGGTGTAATTTTTTTCTGTTAAGATTAAGATGCGTAACACTACAAAAAGGCGTGATATCCGTACAAAATTACCTTTTTCAAAAAAAAAAGGTAAAAAAAGGCGCCAAGTACACGCATAGTAGTACATATGTATTATGTTGTTACCTCGAAAAAAACAAAGTGGTAGTATTAT